AAACGAGTTAATTATTGACTTCGGAGGACAAAACGAAAAATTTCCATTCTTGTATAACATACAACAGCCAACATTTGAGAAAACAACGGAAAATAAAAGGGAAAGACACAAGTAAAACCAATTTGAAAACAACCAATGAAACAATTACTTCACCGTGTGACGAAATATTACAGCGCAGCAAAAGGACGATGAAAGTTGTAAATCAAAACACAACAAAAACAAGCCAATTATTTTGTTAAATAAAATTATTAGTGACCACTTAGTTCTTTTCTCAGCAGTTCTGTAGTAGCTGAATAAGACTCCAAAAAATATATTTGAACAAAAGCAAATAGACTAAACAAACAAACCATGTGGAGGTTGCCATAAATTAAATACGCAGAAATCCTGCATGTAAGTTTCTGTTCACTTTTAAAACCTAAATTCCTAAATACATGGAACCAAATGAAAAGAAATGGAAAAGGAAGTTCAATCACAATAAATTTTCATTCACACTGAGGTGAAGAAACCTATGTGAAAGCAAAAAAAATGTTCAGAATTTTTGCAGAAGTGCCTCGCTGCATATCAGCGTGTTCAAATTAATTCTTCACGCTAAAGCCTAGGCTAAAGCGGAAGCTTAAGTTTTTGCGGATGACTACTCTGACCTTTACAGTCATGTTATCGGCCGTGGTGTTACCAATCATTCCAAAAGTTGAATTCAACTTCAAAGTCATACATTACAATTTTTGTTTTCTAAAGTTCGGGAAACTGCTTCAAATCCTTGATCGATAGTCAAAATTTACTTGAAAGCATACAACTGATTGTCATGTTTTGAGGACTCTGTACCCATTGATCCTCCATTCTGAGGCCACCTAAACATGGATTTGTATCTTTCCTTTCTATTTTAAATGTCAAAGCAGTAATTTCTCCATGTTAGGAATGAAAACAAGACCTTTGAAGTTTGTAGATTTGGCCCGCAATGAGCCATTATTATTACCTACCAGTTCCCAGTGGCCAAAAAAAGTCACATGAGATTGAGGCCATTTGTGCCACGCAGCCAGCCAGCCAGCCAGCTAGCCAGCTGGCCGGCCTGCCGGCGTCCAAACCCTGAAATCATATTGATTGATAACACGGGACATCATAAATCCCGTGGGAAAAACGATCAAAATAGTATGCATTCTCCTTCGTCGAACACAATTAAACAAAAGCTCAAGTTTACACATAGCACTTAAGTGAATTACAGTTTAGCAGACAGCAGCCCCCTAAAACATCCTAATCACTTACTCTGCAAGTGTATTCAAATGTGAACACACATTGAAAATTCAATATATGATTTAAGTGTATAATGGTAATTATGTGTAAACACGAAAATTGCATCTTTTTACTACATTTTGCAAACTGCAGCTAAATAACAACATTCATAAAACAGTTAGATGTTTACCGTTAAAGTAAGGGTGAGTGGCTCTGCTCCTGAAGCATCCCTTGTGTGAAGATCAAATGTATCAGATCTGATACACTCTGGCTGTAGGACATAACCACACCTAAAAGAGAGATTGAAAACTACAAATGACAATTACATCTATAATAATATTACTGCCAATATATGGAATTGAGTGAGATAGAAGTTATCTAATACATGTGCATGAACATATGAAAGATTTTATCCCAAAATTAAATTAAAATAAAGATGATATCATTAGTATCAATTTAGCAGGTGCCCATCAGTTGATAATCTTCTGTTTCATACCTTCCATTGTCAAGAAATTTCCCATGGTTTAGCTGCATTGCTCGATCTGAAAGAGAACAGACCAGATTGATGAGTATGACAATCAACAGCTAGATGTCCAATGCTGTATTTCTTAACCTAACCAAGAACACTATAAGACTCTTATTCCTATTGTCATCACCTCTTACCCCACCCATGATTCACATAATTTCAACTGACTGGCACTTTAACTCCCAAGATTAACATATTAATAAGTATTTTTACTTAATATACNCACGATTTAATGATCTTTTTTAAGACTCTTTTTACTATTTACTTTTAATGAATGGTATTATACTTCTAGTTCAAAGAGTGTTCACTTATCACAGAAATCTAATTGGTAAATCACGCATCACTTGCTTGTAAAATGGCAAATCACGCATCACGTTATGATGTCCTTTTCTGTGTCACGCGGCTAATTTGGTCTCAATCACACATCATGCTGCTAATTTTGGGGCAATCACGCATCATGCAAAAACCCTTTGCCACCCTCTTATCAGTCCCTCAACCAAAATTGCACCACATTTACAAAGAAGGTAATTTGACAAGTTACCATTCTCTTTCTTTTTTAAACCATGTTTACATAAATTGCAGTGTGTTTTCTTTGTGTGTATCTTCAGATGTTACGATCGATCAAGAATAAACAGCAGTGAAGTGCAATAGAGACAGCTAAGTGTTTGGAGTGTTTACTTTAACTTTAACACACTTTCTCGTCAAAACTATTTTTTCCAGAGGGTATGGGGGGTGTACATAATACTAATGGCAATTCCAGAGGGGAGGGGGAGTATTTTCGTGTTCAGAAATTGGAAATTCCGAGGAGGAGGGGGGACTTGTGTGAAATTCCCTCCATTGTGGAGGTATGGATATTTTCTGGAACTACACATTATCACCAATAACAAAATTGAAAAAACTGCTCAACCGGCTAAGAGCAGTGCAGTTCAAGGGGAACAACAGTAGGAAAAAATGTAACACTAGTGCGAATTGTAATGTGAATGTAAATTACAACAGATTGTTGAAACTAGTGCAAAGTCACTCAAAGACTGCCAATGGTCATCAGAGGTATTTCAAAGGAGGTGGAAGCTCATCCAAGGTCTTCCAAAGATAGCTGAAGATAATAATTATTAGACATTTTCCAAAAACCTCCACGGACTACCAGAACCCTTCCAAAGAACTACGAATATCACACAAACATTTTTGAACACCCCACCTTTTGATGACCTGAACCCTTCTGAAGATTTCCAAAGACCATACAAAGATTGCCAAAGATCACCAGTGGATTGCTGAAGATTTTCCAACACAATTTACCGGAAGTTTTGCAAATATTTTTTTTATTTCTAAAGATGGCCACGGCATGCTGCCTAACTAATAGTCCTTTTTTGGGTGTATTATTAACAAGTAATCACATAATCGGATTGTGCACTTTGGAATAAATGAGCACTTGTAAATTTTTCAAAGACTACAAACTTTGTTGGCCTTTGAAAAATTTACTTGTGCTTATTTATTTCAAATTCCATGACAATGGTCATGTCATAACCCAGTATACCTTTTTTTAATTTTCCTTGCTGATTGCGATGTGTTTGTTGATTAATTCTCTCTATACAATGTACTAAATAAATAAATAACAACATGTGATACATTTGGAGTGCGAAGCCGTGCC